GATGATCAGATCAGATCTCTGTGTGGAGCACTGGCTGTTGTCAGAAAAAATCTCACTGGATTATTACAATTAATGGCAAAATGAATGCCATGATATTTCCTACTGACACACTACAGCAAAAGACAGAAATAACTGACTTAAAACCTTTTTTTAGCTGCTGAAAATACTAGTGTTCTAATCATTTTGGCCAACACTGTATTTACAGCGGGTAAAATAAGTATTGAACACGTCACCATTTTTCTCAGTAAATATATTTCTAAAGGTGCTGTTGACATGAAATTTTCACCAGATGTCGATAACACCCCAAGTAATCCATACATACAAAGAAAACAGTCTTCACAGCTTAAAGGTTCTGTGGGCCTCTTCTATGAACTCTGATACTTTTTCCCTGTGTCATTCCATTTTATTACACATAACTTAATTTCTGAACTTTTTTGTTTTGATTTCTACTTGGGTTGTTATCGACATCTGGGGAAAATTTCAAGTCAACAGCACCTTTAGAAATATATTAACTGAGAAAAATGGTGACGTGTTCAATACTTATTTTACCCGCTGTACCTGCTAGTGTACTGTATGTATAATGTAGTTACATAAAATCTGGGATTAAGTCAACTTGTTCACTTGTGTTCAGCGAATGCGTTCAGATGCAGAAACCCAGCGGCCCGTGTTTGATGACATGGAGAGTGAGCTGGCCAAGGCCACGGCGGTCAACCAGCGCATGCTTCAGGTTCACAGCGAGCGGGACACCGAGCTGGATCACTACCGGCAGCTCCTAGGCACCCTGCAGGACCGCTGGCGCACCGTCTTTGCTCAGATCGACCTGCGTCAGCGCGAGCTCGAGCAGCTGGGCCGGCAGCTGGGCTACTACAGGGAGAGCTACGACTGGCTCATCCGCTGGATCGCAGATGCCAAACAGCGGCAGGAGAAGATCCAGGCCGTGCCTATAATCGACAGCAAGACGCTCAAAGAGCAACTGGCACAGGAGAAGGTACTGAATGACACAAGCTTTCTCCATAGAGGTTTTCACACGGCACTTAACCCTGGGTTAACAGCTAGTGACGGATAGTTTTAACAATGGGTTAAGCAATACTTCATGCTTGTTTGAAGACTTTTTTGTGATAATCTAAGTTGCCTATCCAAAGGTGAACAGTATAAATGCTATGAGTTACACCCAACACCCACTTATTAAATGCCTCACTTTACATCATTAGATATTTACCGTTAAGCTCATTTAGTTAACAATGTCCAACTGAAACTGAAAATAACAAGAACCAGTGACATCAAATGTAATAAAGTATTATTTTTATAGTACGTGTCAGAGACTGATTTACGTGTCTAAATTTACACAGATAGACAACGTTATTGAAATAAATCACATGCTCTTGCTGTATTTACATAGTGTTATTCATTTAATAAACATGATAATATAAATATATAAAATCATATTAAATATCTATTTACAGATGTGCAGTGTAGCATTTTAAAAA